CTATCAAGTTAGCATAAATCTATATTAATTCATACCAAATAATAGATTTATAGTGCACTGAACCACTTCATGTCTTCATATTAGGAATATAAGAATATTTGAAATATTTCATGTAATTCGGGTAGTTTGGGTACCCAGGAACATTACCCGAACTACCGAACTAAATTCGGGTTTCTACAGTTACTATCCAGAAATATGATAGGGTATTTCGGGTTCGGGGATTGGGTATCGGGTATTTTGCCCACCCTTATTTATACCTACTAATTTGGCTGGTACTAAACCAATTTGATAGTCCAACTAATGTATACGAGCCAACTAGTTTTAATCTACAGCGAACCTAAAAACAAAGTGTAGCGAACTTAACCAACAAAACATATGGCCTTACATCCATATGTAACTCAGCTAGGCATTTGACCCCTAGCAAGACCTACGACACGAGTCACCGGTTAAACTTAGCTTCGCAGTCAAAGCTAGTGTCTGGGCTATAGTGAACACGTACAAGAACCCGCTGCTTCTCTGGTTGTGACTGTGGTGATGCCCTCTTGGGTATCATTCCTACATCTTGATCTAATTCCCGTTCTTGATCTAATCCCCGTGCTAGATGACATGCATGTTGACATGCTTGTAGTGCTTCAGAATTCTCAAGGATAGACTCATCTTCTTTTGACTCAAGTTCTTTAGTTGTAGAAAAAAGACATAGATATGGCAGAAGATTAGTTGCTATGCCTCTCTACTACTTAAGGATACCAAGAAATGAAAGATAACAATAGGACTCACCTTTAATTTCTTGTTGATCACGATTACTGAGGGAAGGCTCATGTTCTTCAGCCGCAGAAAAAAGACATATGGCAGAAGATTAGTTGTTATGCCTCTCTACAAAATCGAGAAATGAAAGATAACAATGGGGCTCACATTTAATTTGTTGTTGACCAAGGTTACTGAGGGAAGGCTCATGTTCTTTGGCTGTAGAAAGAAGACATGTGGCAGAGGATTAGTTGCTATGCTACCTTCACTCCTACTATTCGGAAAACCAAGAAATAATGAAAGGTAACAACATAACTCACATTTAATTTTTTGTGGATCGCGATGGAGTGAAAGGTCATGTTCTTTGGTCGTAGAAAGAAGACATGTAATAGAAGATTATCAGCTATGCTAGCTTCGCTACTACTATTAGGGAAACTAAGAAATTAAGGATAATATGAGGCCTTTTGTCAATTTGATCTTCTTCCATATCAGTCTTCCAACTACCATGAGGGCGGTCACCACCACCACACAACACTCACCAACGTTCACCGTGACTATGACTTCCAGCTAGGAGGTAGATGTCCCGTCTTTGGTACAGGCGGTGGTGGAGCTAGCTATGGTCGGGGACGGCGGCAGTGGCAGTGGCGGTGGCGGTGATGATGGTGATGCTGTGTGGGCACAATTGTCCCTATATTTTGGTATAGCCTATCGTCGTCCACCGCATCTTTTGTAGAGGTCCCACATCACCAGCACATCTAAGATATCAGAGACCATCATATCTCCTGTCTCTGCGACACGACACAAATAATCTTTGTCTTGGTCATCGATGGTCATCAACACACTTCTGCAGCAACGAAAACTATGAACTTTCATGTCATCACGACAGTATTGTGTCAATTCAATTGCATGTAAGGTCGAGTTATAGTTGGATCATATAGAGATTGAAAAAGAATGCATTATAGAGTAACATATTCAAACCAAAGCTTCAAAAAACATCTGAATTAGGCAAATAATATGTCAACTTTTCACTTTCTGCTTAAAATTCCAAGATCTACTAGGTCTAATTTTTACAAAGACAACTTGCACAAACTTAAACACAGACAGAGTATGAATCTCTTGCACCATGTTCTCAATAGCAGTAGAAACTAGAAAACTAAAGACTAGGAAAGCCTAGAGATGAACAACTAGAGAGATGGACTGGTTAGGAGTAGCCATCCTCTTATTTATAGAGCTATTACACGCTCCCAACAATGCTCTTAGATATTTTGGCTGAACCACTTAACCCAGGGGCAAAATGGTCGTCCAACTTGAGATCCAAGCATTCGATGGCCACGGGCTCTTCACGACTTTGCTTCGCCTCGACGCAAGCTTCACGATGACACCACGCGCCTCTTCCCGTTTCCATCGGAAATCCAACCGGATTTTGAGGCCCAAACTCAAGAAACTATCCACCGGTGGTTTTGAGGCCCAAACCACAAAACCCCTAGGAGAAGCATACCCGCTACGCCGCCTCCACGATCTCGACACGTGTCATCGTCATCCTCAACCGCTCGATCACCAAGTCCTCCAGCACGTCTGATTGACTTGGTCAACCGCTATCTTGACTAGGTCAACACGGTCTACTTCTCCACTTGTACTCTTGCTTGTTGATATCCCCAAGTGTCAGCCACCCATGGTCAGCCTTTCCGGCTATCTTGATCCCTCGGTCCAAGCCTCACGTTCGTCCTTCACCGCTCCCAGTCCATCGGCGTGGCACATCTCTACTTGACCTTCTCCATATCCGTGACCGCCTCTATGGCCCCGTTCGCTTCGCTGAAAAAACAAGCCGAAACATTGTTCTGGCTGATTTGTTGTGAGAGAAAAACACTGCTCCACACTTGCACACCAACATAGCCAAGTGACATGTTGCACATACACTCATATAATGGTTAGTCTCCGAAGTCCAAAATTAACCAAAGCCGATCATCTCCTAACAATTACTCATCACAACTCGACACACAAGGGCACATATCAACCTTATGTTCGCAATTTGCATGTCAACTTTTATATGTGAAGTACATATTTGTATGTGTTCCAAGTTTTAAAAAATTGAGCTACCAGATGCAGTATATATATCTGAAATACACACTAAGGCGCAACGGGAAAAAACTATGAATGAGATTAAAAATTAGAAAGAGTTACTAATAACCAAAGTCTATGGTAAATGGATAAAGGCTATAGATTATCTATATCAGAGATAGCAAAGCTAAGAAACTCTCAGTAGCTATTGACTTAACATTTCTTGAGAAGCTTATGATATTTATTATGTCCTTTTTAAGAAAAAAAACAGAATATATCTTTAAGTTGGCGACAACAATTGGAACTAAATCACTCGGCGCCATACAGTACAGTCTTGCTCTTGCCTAGATTTTCCCCTCAAGGCACGGCGAGGCAATCCTAGCCTGCCCCCTGGCAAAGGAACCAGGAAGGCCAGTGCCTCGGGCAAACCGCGAAGTAGAGATGAAGTGCAGAGAGCAGAGGTACAATACTCTCTTCTGTGGGGATGAACTCGATTGGAGCTGCCGAGGAACGTATAGAATAGCAGCCAAGGACGTTGTAATTCAGGAGTGAACTGGACATAGATAGACTTATGATCGGTTGGATCCGTTCTTGGTGCCTAGGAAAATCGGAGAAAGGGGTGTTGTTGCAATGCCGGCCGGAGTTGGCGTCGGACATGCAGTGGTCGAGGTCGAGTGCCCCAACCCAGTAGCGACAATAGTTCTACAATTGGGAAAAGTCAGTTACTTTCATCACAGATGCACACGTAAGTGCTGATGGATCGAGTTCCAGCCTCGAACTCTCACCAGCCTGCAGTCACCATGACTACATGCCTTCGTGGTAAACTAAAATGGAGCCAAGAAATCTTTATTTATGAACCGCGATGATTTGAGTTAATGAACCTCGATCAAAGTGGTCGTGCTTTGAGTTTGAGGTAGGCGGCAGAGCTGCACCACGTCTACTGCAGTCATCCGTACAAATCTCCGAAGTCTCCAAATTAATCTCATACACAACATCCACAGACCTGCTATTTTCTGTTACGGTGGAACTGGATACTGCTACGATGAATCTATTTAGAACTGGGTAACTGGAGTTTACGAGCTCCTCCGGTGGGCAAGGTTTCCGCCGGCCATCCTCGAGCCGCAGCTCGCCGCCAACGTCTCCGGTAACAACCAAGACAATTCCAAATTGAGTTCCTCCATCTGTTACAGCTGCACTCGACAGAGATACACCAGCACAGCTGGACTTGGGCTCATTTGGTCCACTCCGATCCCGATGTCTTGCTGTTGGGCTTTCTGTTACGCTTCCTCCTTGGGCCGTCCTTCTGGGTTTGGCTAGCTCCAACATCCGTGACATTTTCAAATTGAAGTGAATCTCCAATAAACAATACTGTAATCCGGCCGTGCGTGGGTTGACAGAAGCTCATCGTACGTGTCCATGCATGACCATCATCGATTACCGCCGACGCAGCAAGAGCTCCATTTTGAACTCATCACCATCTCCCTCTATCTGCTCTCCTCTCACTTAGCTCGGCCGTCAAATGATCTGATTTTCAGTCAGTCAGTCAGAGACTTCACTTGTACTGTAGGAGTAGGAGAAGTGGAGAAGTGGAGAAGCGCCCTCTCTAGTCAAGTAGTACTGCTACTGCAGCAGCTGTCAGAGATCCAAGCCTCCAACCCCAAGCACGCACGCGGCCATGCAGGCCTTGACCCTGATCCAGCTTGCAAGTAACAAGTCGCATGTTGCAGACCTTACACATACATCGACCTACGTAACTAACCATTATTTGATTCGCATGCGAAACTCGCACTGCATACGTTGAGATCCACGTACGGCTTTGAAAAATCATCAGACGCGGCACAGCCTAAAAATATGTGCAGGAAGGAACTGAGAATCCCTTCCATGGTCCATGGACCCTTGGTAACCTGCATTCTCACGTGAAACAACTTTCCCGACCGCTTTTCAACTATCTTTGAATTGACTAGCAAGAAAGAAAGTAGTAATGAACTGTAAGTTAGCTAGAACCAAGAGGCACTGTGCGTGTCTGTCCATCCAATCGCATAAATTTGAAAAATCTCTCATACACATCCAGAATTAAAAAAAAAACTGCATCGTTTCCAAATCAAAGAGCATTTCAAGTAACAACCCGTGGCTTGGCTTCACTCACAATCACAGATACTGATCTGAACAAGAATCTGCTGCATGGCCGTCATCGGCCTTCATCGATGACAGAGCTCAGGAACGACCTCGTCGGCGTGGATGACCGATGACATGGTCTCCACCCCGGGGCCCGAGCTCGATTGCCCTCTGGCGTTCATCTGCCACTCGGTGATGTAGCTGGGTTTCGTCACTGCCTCCGCCACCTCTCTGTCTCCCGTGAGCATCGACACCACCCTCGACATGGACGGCCGCTGGCGGGGCGAGCTCTGAATGCAGAGGAGGCCAACGCGGATGGCGCGGAGCACCTCGTCGCTGTTGAATTCCGCGAGCCTGGCGTCCACAACGTCCAAGGGATGATCTTCCTCGTAATGTTGCCAAACCTGAAAGTGGACGAGTGGGATTATAATAACTTCACTGATGTTTTAATTTAACTTCACTAAACGTCGTCCAAAGGATAACTTGTTCTATTATATAGCAGAAAAAAAAGAAACAATCACATATTTTAATTTAATTTCACGAAGCTACAACTATCTCTGCGTAACAAAATCAAGTAACTATTCTTTTACATAACTTTTGATAAAAAAGGGTACAATGGCTCCCTTTAATTTTTTAGACCTATTTGCACGAAGTCACGTCTGATGAAAAGTGCACAAAAGTTACAGGGAAAAAAATCATAAGCATGCGAACTGAGGGTGTATAAGTAACTATAATTATGTGAAATTGATCTGTAAAATTATATTTCTTTGGTAGTTAGGTACAAATAGTTATAGTTACGTGCTGAGACTTGCGGTCTCAGACAATGTGGAGGAGGTGGAGGCCTCCGCCCTTCAAGCGCTGCCCTCAGGCTGAGGCTCGAGAAACAGACACGACAAACGGGCGTGTAGGGAAATGGCACGTAAAACTAGAGTTTCATTAATTCATTCACCAACCTCCCGTACTGTTACAAGTGTTCCCTATTTATAGGGCTCAACTACCACTTTTACAGAGTTTACAATAGTATCCTTCAACTGCTACAGTACATTCTCGGAATATCCCACTTCTCGCCTTTCTTCTCGGGGGTAATCTTGTCGTGCCGTCCTCAGGTACTGGGCCTGTGCGATCAGCCGGCCCATCAGGCCTCCGCCATCGGTCTCCGCCCCTGGGACGCCGAGGCCGCAGACCCCCGACGCCCAGTATTGTCGTCCTCCTGCTTGGGTCTCTGCCCCTACGAGCGCAGGCCGAACCGGCGCGCCCGCGCCGTCCATGAGTGCCTTCCTCTGGTTACCTGCACACACACGTAGATAACGTTGGCACTTGATTAGCCTTGCAGCGGGGCGGCCTCCGCCCCCTCCGGCCGGAGACGCCTACGAGCTAGCCGCGCGGAGGCGGCGCCAGGGTCACCGGCGGCGTCCTGCAAGCAGTCTCAGAAACCATCATCTTTCTAGGTCCGGAGGCGTGGTAGCCAGGCCTTTGCTTAGGTAGTCAGTCGGAGACGTCTCTGCGAACTGCTGGCCGCGTAGGTCTCCGCCACTCTCGGAGGCCGTGTTACAATAGTTCCCCCCTTTTGAGACCACGGTCTGCCCGAGCGTGTCGTGAACTCAAAACGCCCTAAGCAAGGACGTCCGCGAGGGCGGAGACTGCGCGTAGTCACGTCTCTGACCGATCCCCGCAGGTTCCCCCCTGGCCCGCTCTGGCGTGGCCGCTAGTCTTGTCATAGTAGCCGTTAGGCTGCAAAACTAGCCGTTGTCCTACGCTGTGGCCGTTTACGCCGTATTGCTTTCCGTTGCATACCTTGCGACTTCTTCGGAGATGACCGTTGGGCGGCAGGCGAATTTTCCGGAGATGACCGTTGTACGGCGGTAGCCGAACCGCCCGCCCGCGTCCTATATAAGGGCGGGGTTGGCTGCGAGGCCCCCCCCCGCACTGCTCATTCGCTTTCCTTGCCTCTGAGAAATCGCTCTCTGCTCTCTTCGATTTCGGCTGAGCTGCCTTTGCGCGTTCCGTCTTTCCGCTTGCGTCTTCCTCCTAGGCTACCGCCGCAGTGGCTTCCTTTTCCGCCTCCGCTCATACTCGCCGGCCCGCCTTCTTCGAACCCTATCGCCACCTTCTCGGCGTTAGGGCCGCCAGCTGGAGTGCGCGCTTTGAGGAGTGCATGCTTGCCTCCGCCTCCACGTTGGAATTTGAAAAGCTAGTGGAGGAGGATTTGGAGAGTGTCTCCGCGTCCGTCGGAGACCTGATCGCTGCTGATTCCAGAGACATGGCGATAAAGTCATGGGATTTCGGCCCCTCCTCCATTACTGAAGAGGCGGTCGCGGAGATGTTGAAGGAATCGTATTTTCCTTCTTCGAGGGTAAAAATCCCTTCGCCCGGCCAGACCGTTCCGGAGCCCGAGGAGGGGTATGCGGTGGTGTTTCGGGACTTTTTCACCTGCGGCCTCTGCCTTCCTTACGTCCCTTCCTCCATCAGGTGTTGGAGACGTTCAACGTCTAGGTTCACCATCTGACCCCTACGGCCTTCCTTACGCTCAACAAATTTTGCTGGGCGTGTGTTTCTTATGGTGCCAAGCCGGATGTAGACACCTTCTGCGCGTACTACGAGCTGCAGAAGCAGCCGAAGAAGAAGAAGGAGGTGCAGGAGGGCAAGGAGGTGGAGGTGACCTACCAGTATGGTAGTTGCACCTTTATGTCGAAGAGGAACCAAGGCGTAGACCGCCTGAAGCTTTCTTTTTGCCAGAAGGGCAAGTGGGACCGCGGCTGGCTTGAGCAGTGGTTCTACGTGAAGACCTACGGGGTCCGCGGCACTACCGAGGATGGTGCAGAGGTCGTGGAGTATCCATTGACTTCAAGAATGGAGGAGATGGCGCCGCATACGCGCGTGGATCCGCCGGAGGAAAAGTCTCCGGCGAGGAAGGCTTGCGACCAGGCTTTTGCGGCTGCGTGCCGCTACTCCGGGGGCCGCGACCTGGTGGAGGAGATTATGGCCTCCAACTACTAGCCCCTGGGCAAGGACAACCCGGCCTTTCAGCTAGAAAAGGTGAAGGTTCCTGTTTTTGGTCCGGAGGCCGGGATTCCTTTCCCCCGCTTTGGCCGGTCTTTGGGGGAGGGGTGACGGAGGACAGCTTTGTTGTCGACGTTGAGGAGGCCACCGTCGGGTTGGTTGGCAAAATTTCTGAGCATGATTACACGTCTCAGAGAGCCATGGCAGGCACCATGCCGCGGCTCAATCGTGTTTTTGAGGAGCTTGGGATCATCTACCGGGAGCGCGAGGTTCCCGCCGATGTCCTAGCTTCAATTGACAAGAAGAAGAAGAAGGCCTTCGTGAAGAATGTTACGGCGGAGGCCGAGTCCAAGAAGAGGAAGGGCGCTGCTGTAACTCAGGCGCCTGCGAAAAAGAAGAAGAAGACCGGTGCTCTGGTGATCGCGGCGGCCACGTCTTCGGTCGGTAGTGCTGGCGTTGCCTCCGTCGGCAGTGAAGACGTTCAGAGCTCCTCCGTCCCATCAGTGGATGTGCGGGTCACGAGCGGCGAGGATCGCGGCTCTCCTGGAGCTCCGGTGGGCGCTGTGAGCGGTGCTGGGCGTCCGGAGGCCAGCGCTGCTCCGGCGCGCTCCTTGCACGGTGCTGCGAGTGTCGCCGAACAGCCTGAGGCTAGCACCACCGATCCTATGCCTGACATTTTTGGCGGACTGTATTCAAGTTCTGAAGATGGCGCGAAGGCCGCCTTGCAGCACACTCCTTCGTTTCCTGCCGTTGTTGCGCCTTCCTCCGCGCCAGCGGCAGACGTCGGGCAGCCGGAGGCCGTGCTTGCTGAGAAGGCGCCGGCGTCTCAGTCTTCTTCGAGCCCTCCGCCCGCTAGGCTGCTGGCTGAGGAGAGCTGGCCCTTTGGGCCTTCGCCGCATGATATGGTGGAGACATCTGCCCAGGGGGCTCGGTAGGCGGCCCAGCCTAGGCTTTTTATGAGTAAGTTTGTTTGGCGCATATTTTTGTGTTTACTGTCTTGGCCTGGTTTATTTGTTTATGTATTGTACCAAGTGCTAATACCGTGTACTTGTTGCTTTGTAGGTGATGTCATGGCTGGACTCCTCACCCCGGAGGAGCGAGCGGCCGCTGCTAGTGTCAGGTTTGGTCCGGGCAACCGGGGCTGATGGCGCCGGGTCCGAGTGAGTTAGAGTGTTTTTATCTTACTCGTCTTTTGGCCTGTTGTTATTGCCTATTTCTGATCGGCCCTCTGACCTGAGTTGTTGTTGTTGTGTTTTTTATGCAGGCTCCTCTGACACTTCTATCTCAGGTTGGGAAGAGTGCTATCTTGAGGTTCTTGGAGACGTCGGAGGTGGTCTCTAGCAGTTGGTGTATTTATTGTGAGATTTTCTTTTCTCACCTTATTGTTTTGTGTTTGTTTGTTCTTCTTTGAACAGATTGCTTCAAATAGCGTCTGAGGGACATGGATTTCTTCCAACTTCTCCGTGTTCATCTAGAACACCAGAGCTTGGTGCGTCTTTGGCAGTTTGCCTTTTTTGGTGTACGTTCGCCTTTAGACTTGTTTTTGTTTCTATTGCTGATCGCCTTGGTCTTCTTCTTTCCGATCGTAGGGGTATCACACAGCCGTTGTTATGGAAGAGAGCCAGACTGCTGAAGTCTCCGACCGAGATACTGCGATTGAAGCCCTCAAGGCGGAGAACGAGCGCCTAGAAGGTGAAAAAGGGGGTTTGGCCAACTCCCTTGCAGCTCTCCGCCTTTCTCTGGCGGAGAAGGAACAAGAAAAGGAGGCTTTGAGGGCTGATCTCGCCAAGGCCTGGGATGCGGAAGGTTTGTCCGCCGAGCAGGCCTACAGGGCGAATGAGTTCGCCGAGGGTCTCCAGCGAGAGCTGGCCTCTGAGAAGGAATCCGCGACTGCGGTGGGGGAGCAGCTGTCTTTGTCGACGAGGCGTTTGGACTCGGTCAAGGGGGTCCTTGCTGCAACCGTTGGACATTATCGGGCCATCGTCACCGAGTTCGGAGGCGAAACCTCCGCTCCTCTGGAGGAAGACAACGTCTATGCCCTCGCCTCCTGGCTAAAGCGTCACCTTGCGAAGCTCACCGGTCTGATCAATGGCTGCATGGACTATGGGGCGCTGGCGGGAGTAGCGAATTATGCCAAGCTTTTGGTGCGCGGTGAGTGCACGCATACCGAAAGTATTCCGGAGGGAGCGCTGCCGGGTCCGGAGGAGCTTGGTGATACTTCTCTTGGTTTGCGAAAAACCTTGAGAAATTTCATTGGGTACTTTTGGGCTCCGTTTGGGAGACCTGCTGCCCGGAAACTAGCGGAGGAAAAGAGGGCGAAGGTATTTCTAGTCTTTGTAGCCGCTATTTTTCTCTCTTTGCTTTTTGTGAAGCTGCGAAGGCTTTCATTGCCTGTGCCACTGAT